ATTCTATGATTCTATGAAAGAAGCCTGGCAAACGGCTTAAATTAAAACTAGAGTGGCTGTGCCAACTCCTGCAGCATGAGAGTGCCAAGATCCTGAACGTGGCTGCTCACCAGCATTTGGCATGGCGCTGATATCTTGTCACCGCCATCCTTGAGCAGTGACGCCCACACAGGTACACTGACCGGGCGGTTGGGGCCAGATGCAAAGCAGTGTGGGAAAGCAGAGGGAAGACTGCCAAACTTCTCCCAAGGGAAGTCACAGCCACGTTTCCCCAAAATCATCTACTCCAATGCAGCGTTACTCCTGATCGCAGCTAGAATGAAGTCTCCAAAGCTATTTACCAGCTACGCTGACGTGTCCCACGGGTTCCATCTTTCACATTCAGGCACCTCAGTTTGCACTAGTAAGAAAGGGTGTAAACGCTCAGCAAAGGAGAAAACTCTCCACTTCCAGTAAAGCACGGTCCTGACATAGAAAGCTGGGAGAGCACTTTTGGAGCTCCGTGCTGACTGTTGGGAAGACGCCTAGAGCTGCAGGAAAAACAAAAAACATTAAAAAAAGGAAGTCTGGTTTTACGTTTAATTACTCCTGGGTCCTGAGGAGCAGGTTTCGTTTCTCCCTTATAAGCAAGCTATGCAGCACCAACCCAGTGGAACCCACCACCAGTTTCATCTCTTGGTGGGAAGAACCTGCAGGTCAACTCCGGCCAACTTTGTATGCAAAAGCTTTGCCGTGGTAGACGTTAGTTAACAGTGCAAGAACCCTCCTGTCGTGCCACACGTTATTCATAGCTCAGTGCCACTCTGCCCTCTTTTTTCCCACGCAGCGATGGCCAGACCTTTCATTTCAGAGACTGCTGCAGGGCACCACAGCTTTCCATCCAGCAGGTCACGCAGAGGCATTGCACTGGTGCTCCTTTCCCTGTCTGAAAGTTTTTTCCACCTCCAAAGGCTTCCAAGCTCTTCCAGTGTTTCCCCTTCCTCCCAAAATATGCAAGTCCTACGCCATTCTATAGCAGTTGGAAACACTGAAGCTGTCTGCAGCTTTTACGCAGCTGAGTATTCAAGCAACGTCCCACACAAGCTCAAGTTTGCTGGCACGGCACGGCACGGCTGTCTCCTGAGGTAGGGATTAAGTTTGGCATAAGGCTCGCTGATCGCAAAATGATGTTGCCTATTGCCTCGGTGCGGTATCTGCGTATCTAAAATACATGTGAATAAAGAGGTTCAAGAGACAATTATTACACCAGCCACAGAAAATTACTAAATCACCATGTTTCCTCTCTAGGTCACAGTCCAAGCCCTGTGTCCAGCAGCCATCAGAACAGTTTGCCTTCTGCCTCTGCCCATTCATCTCCAGCAAAACTGCAACTGCAGGTAGGCTTCCATGTGAGGACCTTTACCTTCTGCCTTCTTCAAACTCTGTGGAGAATTAAGTGACTGGCATCGGTTAGGTAAGAAAAAGGAAACTTGAATTTTATGTGCAAGTATAAACGTAAACCAAGCAAACTGTTACTTGTATTTTATTTGCTCTATAAAAAAAAACTCGGAATACAAAGACCTTTGACTTTTTTTTCCAGGTGTCCACAGAAATACCAGTTTATTTAAATCTAAAACCTGCAACATACCCTCATTTGGTTTTACTAAAAAGCCCTCTCATTATAAAAAGGATGGGGAAAAAAGGGTGAACTAGTTCCTCTTTATTTTGAGCTCGCTCCTTTAATTTGCTGTTGCACATGAAGCAACAAACAACAATTCTAAGGAATGTAAAAGGTTCCTATGCCTACAAAAGCCTTAATACCAGAACAATGAGCTGAAGGACAATCAGACTGACACAAAAGGATTTTCATTTCGAAGAAACACCTGGATAAATTCGGAACACACATTCTATCCTCATACTTCATGCTATGTGGTGGCACTTATCTTTTGCAGGGCTGATTTCCAGCGGCACAGACCTACTAACCCAAAATGAGCTTCCTTCCTTCTGGGGAGGCTGAGCTGCAGCAGCACAGGTCACTCCAGGTTAGAGTGAGGCTGGAGATGGGGTGGTAACTTAGGTGTAGGTGAAAGAGGAGAATTTGGATATAATACTACATGCTGAGTATAACTCTGTGTTTAATATACCGTTCCTGGCTCAAGAGGAGAAACTGCATACTCCACTAACTAGGATTTCTGCATCTTTTAATGGAGACAATTCTCCATTTAAAAAATGGTAAAAACCGTTTTTAATTTCCACATTTAATTAAAGTACAAACAAAATTGCTGCTTCCCAGGTTCTTTATCGCTGCATCTTTCTGAGACTTGTATCCTAAAGGTTCACTTTCCTACACAGCGTAATTTTGGCAGAGGAGGTCAGCGCGCTGCCTATCCCTCCTGCAAACTCACAGGGCTGTGCAGATGCTCAGCATCTCCGAAAGCTGGGCTTGCTATACACCTAAACAAATGTGGAGAGCAGGAATATTACAATTACCTGAGAATTAAAAAAATCTGTCTGCATTCAAAGTAAAAATAAAACTGGGGAATTTCAAAATTTCCTGAGGTGATCTTTTTGATCAACTAGAACTTTGGCTGCATTTCAATTCAGGCACTTATTTCATAGTACAATGCAAAATATAAACTAAATTGTGAACAATATAAAAG